GATCCGTACAGTGAGGTGACAGTGCTCTAACCGATGTACTCAAAACTAAATCCAAGATCATTAGCTGGAACTCCGATGCATAAAAAGCGTTTCTTGAAACCAAGGAAATGATTATTACTCCTCCAATTTAGATATCACCGGATTTTTCAAAAGAATTCATTCGACACCGCAGTAGCAGCCGTGCTCGCTTAAAGACATCCTGTTGGCGAGAAAGTAGTGGCTTATTTTTCACATAAACTGACTACGCCTCAACGTAACTATCATGCAATCGAAAAAGAAGGACTTGCGGTAGTGTTGGCGGTAAAAACCTCGAGGGTATTTGGAAGGTTACCTGTTTCGACTAGTCACAAATATCTCAACGATTACTGGGATAATGCAAACCTGGTTCACCTGGAAGACTGAGCCGCTAGAGCTTGAAGCTCCAACTCTACGATATGACCATACAACATCGTAGGGGTAAAGACAATGTTGTACCAGACGCATTGTTCCCGAGGCTGAAATCTCGGCAGTGACCAGGTCTGATTGGTATTGTGATCTAAAATCCAAAGTAATCGAGAATCTTGAAGATTATTTTGACTTTAAGGTCGAAAGTGGGCAACTGTACAAGTACGTCAAGGCCGAGGAAGTTCCTTGCGACTCGCGGTTCAGTTGGAAACTGATTCCTGCACCGGAGTGTCGCAACGAAATCATCGAGAAGACGCATGACAATCTTCCCCACGTGGTGTTTGATAAAACCCTTTACGAAATCAAGCTTCGATATTTTTGGCCAAATATGGCATCTCAAATTAGAAAATTCCTACAACAATGCGGAGCGTGCAAGGAGGTCAGGCCCGGACATCAAACTCACCATGGAGAATGATTTCCCCGGTCCCTACCCAGAAGCAAACGTGGGTACAAACACTTGCTCGTTGTACTCGACGTGTACGCAAGTATGTGATGTTGGTCCCGGTACGAAAAATCCAGAGTAGCTTCCTTTGCATCATTCTACGGGATCAGTGGTTTAATCGTCACGGAAGTCCAGAGGTTCTCCTGAGCGATAACGCTTCCACCTTCGTCTCGAAGGAGTTCGGCCAATTCATAAAAGAAAATGTAGTTACACATTGGTTAAATACTAAATATCATTCTCAGGCGAACCCGGTTGAACGAGTCAACCATGTGTCGGACGTTGAGAAGGTTCTCAATACCACCTCAACCGGGTCAGTCCTTTTTTCGTTGTCCACGGGAATGAAATGGCATCAGGAGAAGATTTCAGGAGAGCCTCAGGCAATTCGGAGAATGATCTGAAAGTAAGACATCAAAGATTAGCAAAAATTCGGGAGATTGTAGAGAAAAATCTTCAAAAAGCTAGCGTCCTTCATCACTACAATTTGTGATACCGTAAATTTGCTAAACCTTTCGAAGTAGGACAATTTGTATATCGTCGCAATACAAAACAATCGGACGCAATCCCTCCCCATGGACATGGAGGTTGACGGTACTGAAGCAAAGGGTTATGTTTAATTTCTTTATATTTGCAACGATGATGATTTCCTATAGTGACACATATCACCTTCTTAATGCTTCAGTATGCCTCAAACGATTAATTCTTGGTTGTTAATAGAACTTCCTTGATGAAATCGGCTGCTTCATGCAGACTGAGCAATTCTGATTATAGTATCAGATTTGTTCTGTATACAGAGGAACTGGGAGGGCTTATTAGAAACTTCTCACCAATAAAGTAATGATCTTCTAGTAAATTTTGCATATAATTTTATTAATATTTTATTTTATTTTAGCATACTATTTTTGTTACAGTCAATTGCATACGATACAAAAGATTTAATATTACTTGCTCGCCTTTGTGTAAAATAATCAATAATACCTTTGAAAGTTTTTTTCAAGTTTTTGTGATCTGATAGATTTCCCAGTTTGGTAAAAAGTTTCGAAGCTAACGCATGTCCACAGGCATAATAGAAAGATAGGCAGAAAAAGTGTGTCATGAAGAATGGTTGCATGCACTTGCTATAGATGAGTGATTTTCGGAGTTTTGAATTCTTTAGATGTTGTAATGGGGATTTGTATTTGTTGGATACGGGAGGAGATTGGAGGGCGGGTGTTTGACGCATATACACCCCGATCATTGCAATCCTATGGGGATAAAAAAAAAAGCAAGCTGCTTTTCTTCTGATCAAAAAGTCTGTTATAGAGCAAACATTCCGAGCTAAATGCGGCATGGTTGACGTCCAAGTTCATTTTTCGTTCTTTATTCATTTTCAAACAATTAATACATTTCAATACTGTGGTGGATGCGCAAACCAATTGAAAAACAGTTTGATTAAGACGCAATCATTTCCGTTAAAAGTGTCGATGCGCAACATAAACGAAAAACAAACTTGTAAATCAAAATGACATTAATGTATACCAAGCATTTCCACTGGGTCTCAAATAAACATTCCTAAGAAATCCCAAATGCAATAAACATGTTTACTAGGTCAAGCGCAAGACGATCAACAACGCACGCAGACGGCGCAATGAATGAAATGATTGTTTGCATAGCTAAGCATACTTGCAATAAGCATAATCGATTGCGTGTGACTTTTGCCACATGGTATCGGGTCAATTCGTAAACAACAGGAAGCAACATATCAACATAGGACTTGGGAAAGATTCAGCATAAACAATATTGAATTCTATCTGCGCAATTGGTTAATTAATAAAACTAACTGAAACTGAAATATACATTATTCTACAATCGCAAGTCAGAGTGTTATTAACTTAGAATGCCAGTTCAATACAGTTAACGTACACTCCAACGTTTTGTGTTGTTGGTTGCACCTAGAGCATCGTTTACAATTTCACAATTTTTGCAATCCATGCTCTTGTGCCCAAATTCTCCACATTTGAAGCATCTCAACACATTAATCGCGAGAACTATCGAGCACCGATCAAACCCTACATCGACTTCAATTACAACACTAAAATTGTTATACGTGAAGCGTGGATTTTCAAACATGTTCACTACTTTAACATCATTAATAGCGATGTCTTCATTTTGACTTTTTAAGTAGTCAATGACGACATCGGAGGAAAACTGATCGCTCATGCCAACTATTTTCAATCTTGGCACCGAAGTGGGAACATCCGCACTATATTTTTCACCCAGATTGCTTTCAATACCATTTTTCATATCACTTACGTTTGCTCCTGTTGCACACTCAACAATAATGGAGTCAGCTGTACCATTCCTAAAATTACTGATTTTGTGTATTTTTGGATCCAACTGAGTTTCCGAAAACTTACGAGTATCTTCGCAAGGTTGTTTGAACTCTTTCGGTTTAATCACAATGACCGGACGAGTCTTACGATTATCTGGTTTGTTACTTTTACTATTACTGTTACTATTATTTTTACTTTGACTAGCACGACTATGCCTTTTTACAACATCCGCAAAAATCGCATTTTCTTGAAAAACAACATCATTATCATTATCACTATTTAGTATTTTACTTTGACTATATGTTTTTAGTATTACTTCTACGTGAAGTCAACGATTTACATAGTTGAAGATGCTAATTTCAAATAACAGACTGTAGTGGTAATTTTTATACGATAGATGGAGTAGATGAAAGCATAGAATTGATAGTTCCGTTAGAGTACGGCAGTGTGAAGATTGTATATAGATATTAGAAAAGCGAGCTAGGACAACTTTTAAGGAAGGTACACATCGGTATTTTCATCTCTCTTTACCAAACTCCCCCTTTGGAGAGGGATGGTGAGGGGTGACGATGACAGGACGATGACAGGAGCACATATCGTGGTAGGGGTAAACAATAGTTGCAATTTCCAAACCTACGACTGGATGCCTTCCTTCAAATAACAACTGAAGTGCGGTAAAAAATCGGTAGAACTGTTTCAAACACACAGTTGGTACTTGAGCGGGTCGGTTTTCATCTCTTTTTGCCAGTGGTGGCGGGGGGGGGGGACACCCCTCACCATCCCTCTCCAAAGGGGAGTTTGGTAAAGAGAGATGAAAAAACCGATTTGTACCTTCCTTAAAAGTTGTCCTAGCTCGCTATTCTAATATCTATATACAATCTTCACACTGCCGTACTCTAACGGAACTATCAACTCTATGCTTTCATCTACTCCATCTATCGTATAAAAATTACCACTACAGTCTGTTATTTGAAATTAGCATCTTCAACTATAGTATTTTACGTTTTTTTGCGTCTGGTATTTTGGTCCGATTCTGACTGAATCGTCCTAGATGAACTGCGCTGATCGTTCTTTACAGCTAATCGGTTTTCCGCATCAATTTTAAAAAATGAACTTTTCATATCATCCAATTCCTCACTAATAAACTTTCAAGACCATTAACATTTATTCTAATGTCTGCCATCCCGTTTTTAAACCGCGATGTCCACCTGAGCAGCAATGTGATCTCGCATGCCAGTGATCGAGTCCGAGAGTTGAAAAACCTTCTTCATCTCTTCCTCTATCCTTTTGACGCGCGAGATCAGATCATTCTGCTCGTCACAACTCTGATCTGATAGACAACTATCACACTTGAACAGAACATTTGCATTATCTGCTATAAGCCTCGCCACAGTCTTAGTGAGTGCCGCACAAGCGAAATGGAACGTTCCATTGCACGGACCTACACATGTAACTGGGAGCCCACTCATAGCAATAGACTGCTGGCATACCTTACACACATCCATTTTACCAAATTAAACGCTAACACTGTTAGCAGCAGACATATACAGGGGAGGAAAACACAACATAAAATTTTACCGCCACATCTCAATATACAGAAGCAATAGCGCGCCGGGGGAAAAATACAAAACTAAACAAAAACGAGTTGCTAGGCAACCTTTCCTCTACTTATCCTGTTAAAAAACACAACGGGCACGCGTAGGAATAATCCTTTCGCGGCACACGGCACTATTTCACACGAAATTATGAATTTATTTTCACAGCACAACAAAAACACTACTTTGTTCGCCATACTACGCCCTGTTGCATATAATCATAGTAGGCATTGATTAATACACTTGACATAATATTATGTTATTTTACGATCATCAACTGAATCGGACGTCTCTGTTAATTATTTCCGATAACTACAGCTGGTATTTACTACAGAAAATGTAAAGATTTTCTAAAACGGTTCATTTAATTTCTACATATCTGTGCAATTATTTGTTCAACTTTGCAGAAACGAGAGAAAGGATATATGCGGGTGCACCAGATTAACAACCTCAACAAGGCACTGACAGTGTTACAAGAATGTGGAGTTAAACTTGTCAACATATCCAGTGATGATATCAATTCTGGAAATGCAAAACTAACCCTGGGACTCATATGGTTAATTGCACTGAGCTTTGACGGTCAAAAGCTAGTCAATTCACAAGCGATCAGCGGAATCGAAAAATCTTTACTCAATTGGACCCGTCAATTTGTGGAAAAACATGGGATTAAGGTATGGTTTCGTAATATCACAGACAAACAAACATAGTGCATTGAATATTTTCCACTTTAAAACATTTTCGCTAGCACACTACCGCTATTTGTTGAGAACACTGTATATGTGAAAGGCTCAATAGATGGCGGTAGTGTGTAAACTTCAAATGCATAAGAATTCTGTGCCAACAATTCATTAGGGCGAAACTGCATTTGTAAATAGATTTCTCGCAAATAAAAGCTCATTCCTGCAAATTAACGATGTCAGCTGGTAGAGGAAAAATTCTTTGTTAGCTAGGGGTAAAAGGGGCATAGTGAGCATCCCATGCACCAGCTTGGACTTCCGGCCGTTCGGAACAAATTGGATGGTGGTAGGATCATTATCATAATGATATTGAACCTACTGCCAGTTGATTTGTTTCATGCAGCTAGAGATCCAGGGCCAAACTACGGGATGCTCACTATGCCCCTCCTGCCCCTATTATTTACAAAAGCATTTTCGCCCTTCTGAATTGTTGGCATCGAATTGACTACGCGCACCACAGGTGGTGGAACTAGGCAGTGAACAAAAAAAATTACCGTTAGATACGTGTTTGATGAACAACTTGCATGTGTTATGTATATTATGTCGCTTTCGTTTTTGCGGTGTAGCTACACCGGTGTTACACCGCCGTACACCGAAAAAATTCAGGGTGTAGCTATCGGCTGCACCTTTGTTTACAAACAAATGATGATGAGCTGTCAATGACTCTCGCTTATTGCTGTTTACAGTACACAGGTGTAGTGTAGTAAAAACGAAAACGATATTATTCTGTGTAAATATATTTTTGCTTTGCTTTGAGTTGGTTTGGTTTAAGCTTCTGTTTATTATTTATTTATTTGACACTTACAATTTTGCAGGTCAATGATTTCTCCTCCAGTTGGTCAGATGGATCGGCATTTCTGGCTATCCTTGCTGAAGCAATTGATTCGTTTGATGTACAGGTAGCGCTTAAAAGACATCCAATCGCCAGGCTACGTATGGCGTTTGATTTAGCCAATCGGCATTTAGGAATAGAACAGCTGCTGGATCCGGAAGATGTCAATACGAACAAGCCCGATAAAAAATCTATACTAATGTATGTGATGTGCTTATACAATGCCATCGATTCAAGGAGGCAAGAACACCATGGAAGTGTTCAGCATTTGGCACAGCATGTAGAAAGTATGGAAGAAATTCAACTACTGAGTGAAAATGAATTCGAAGACTTAACGGACGAGGACAATAAGAACAATAATCTAAATCAAAGTGATCCAATTCCAAAATATGAAGAATTGATGCCACATGTTGGGAACTTGACACATCTGGAGGAAGTATCCCTAGCCAAGTCGATTGATGATTTACGCAACTTTAATAGAGAAAACAAGGTTAAAATGTTGTCACAATCTAAGCCAATAGTTCAGAGAATAGAACACACCGAAGTTACAGGTTCAATTCTTAAGCTAAGTGATCCAGTTTCTTTACCAGGTAAAACGGATTCATTCTATTGGGAACCGAAATCCTCTCGACCAGTGTCTACCGCAACGAATTTTTCAGTTGAATTTAGTGGTTATCAGGCAGCAGTGGAAGAAGTTCTAACCATGTTGCTAGAAGCGGAAGAACTATTCTCGAAGGAAATGGTCGAAGCACAAGGACTAACGGAAGCCAAGACACAATTTCATGATCACGAAGACTTTATGGCTAAACTGTCTGAATATCACACCTTTGTATGTGGGGCACTCGATGAAGGTTCAAGACTGATAAACGAATCGCAAGTAAGTCCCGGGTCACATGGTCTAGACCAGGAAGGCCAAAATGAGATCAAACAACAATTGTTTCTGTTGAACGAACGCTGGGAGATGTTGCGCGTTAACGCACTAGAAAGACAGGCGAAAATTCATAAAAAGTTGGCATCACTGCAAATGCATAAGGTTGAAGAACTGAAAAACTTTCTAACTATGATCGAGGATAGAATCTCGCATATGTCAGACGTAGGTCCGACTCCAGTTGAACTGAAAGCTCAACTTGAGCAGCATAAAGTCTTGCAAAATGACATGGAAGCACAAGAAAAGCTAGTCGATAGTCTCAGTAATTTGGTTATTATCATTGATTCGGATAACTTCAGTGATTTAGAAGACAAATTATCTGCTCTGGAGGAGCGTTGGTCACACCTTATAACGTGGATAGCGAACAGATGGGGAAAATTGCAAAGCCTGAGTCAGCGGTGGACCAAGCTTTCTGAACAATATCGTATCATATGTCGTTGGATCGAGTCCCGAGAATACAATCTTAAGAAAATGGAAATGAACGATTCTGTAGAGATGGGCGCTATGATGGAACGAATTAAGTGCCTACAATACTGCAAGCATGATGTACATGCCCTTACCAGCTGTTTGCAAGAATTGGAAAATTCGGCTCAGTCACTTAGTGATGAAGGATATTCTTCGTTGAATATTCTTGCGAAGGTAGAACACTTGAATGACATGTGTGATGCATTATCACAAATTTTGGAGGCCCAAGAGGCTCGTGTTGAGAACATGGGTTTTCAAATTCCAGCAGTGTCAACCAGTGATGAACACAAAAGCAAACTCATGAAACCTAATTCATGGGAAGATTTTCAGATTAAAATGCATGAGGAGACCCAGGCCATTGTTGATAGAAGTGAAATTTGCATGGACAATTTGGATAGTTCCGAATATTCACCACAATCGGAGAAAAAGCGTAAAATTGAACAACCTGAAATGGTTGTGCAATTGAATGAGTTAATGTATGAAATGAAGAGTACAGTGGATGAGTGTTTTTATAAGCTGGACGAATTTGAGACCGTTGATTTGAAACAAAGACTAACGCTACTGGAACAGGTAGAATTGACTCTTGATGATCGAAAGGAAGACTATTGTAAGGCAAAGGAAATATTGGACCAATGCAAACAACTTCCAAATGTGGATCTGGAAATTGAGAATCGACAACTCGCTGAAATAGGTGATCTAATTGATTTATTGAAATCGCAATTGGACGAACTCAGCATAGAACTACAGGGACTTGTGGTGATAGATAAATTCAGCAGAAGCGTGACTGGTTTTAAATTGATATTGGCAGACACGCGTGATTGGTATCAGCAAAATTCCAGCATGATTACGGCAGAGGACCTTGAAAAGAGACTATCCGGTATGAACTCATTCAATGATGAAATCGAGGAAATCCGTCAAGTATTACAGTCGAATGCTGGAGAAAATTGGAGCGATAGGAAGCAGGATTTTGATCTATTTGTAGAAAGTTGGAACGATATGAAAAATGCCATAAACCGATTGATAATTGACAAAGGAAACAACCATGGAGGCAGTGACCAAATTCAATACGTGCAGGAATTGGTTGAGCAGATACAGCAGCTTCCAATGGTGTATTTTAATCTTGAAAGTATGCATCAAAACTTGGACAAAATGCATTCCTTAAAAACAATATACAATAAGCAAATCGATGAAGACTATGGTGAAATACTTACAAAACTAGATAACGTTAGTAAGTTTTCTCAGTTGATAACAATATGGTTAACCATTCCGCAAATTTTAAACGATAGCATTATAAAACAAAGTATTGCTATTGAAAACATGAATCACTTCAATTCTGAATATGCTGACGTTGTAAATACGTTGGATAAGATTGAATATTCTTTGAGAAATGAAATGTTCATTCTTGGAGAAATTAAGGCGTTAGAACTTAAAATGACCGAATATGATCAATATGCTACTGACCTGAAAAAAATGGACATAGATATAATTAGTATCAACAATTTTGCAGACATAATTGTGGAAAACTGTGGAGATCAATCGAAAAATGCATTAGTATCACAGATTGAGATACTTTGTAAACGGCATGCGACCATTTCTAATCTGTATCAAGCAAATTTGATCAAACTGAATCAAGTTAAAAGTACCACGGAAAGCATTCTAGTAAAAGTGCATGAAACCGAGCTTTGGTTGAATGATTTGGAAATAAATACACCAAAAAGCTTAAATTCAGATATCAAGAGTTTAAACGAGCTGTACCAGGTTAAATCAAAATTCCAAGCTCTGAAAGAGACTTGTGAACAACAAACGTTTAAATTCCGGGAGTTGAATGAATCTGGCAATGAAGTATTGTTACAGATCGATGAACTAATTCAAATCAAGACAGAGAACAAGGTTTCATATTTAGCCAAAAAGTTTACAAAACTAAACGCACGATGGAGTGAGGTGACGTCTTTGGTGTACACACGGACTGCCCTATTGGAACATATTTCTAGTCAGATGGGAGAGTTCAAGACATTGATAGTAGCCGAAACTGGATATTTAGATAAATTGGACAAGCTGTTGCGAAAAAGTCCGGAAAGCGCCGCTGATGCGGAAGAAATTTCCGAGGAACTTGATGTGAGTAAACCAACCATCCCGTTTGGCATAATGGTCATTTGGTGTACCTCTTGTTTGGATTAATACCGTAAAGTCTTCGACCATGATAATTTTGTCTTTGGGCAAACATCATTTCCGGATTAAATTTTTCATTTTCTGGACAATTGTGGATTTAACAATCAAAAATATATTCTATGAGTAAGTTCTGCGTTATACCAAATGACTATGCCTCATGGAGTATATACACCCTGCTTGAATAGGTCCATTCGTAATGGTATTTAAAAACGATTTTATTTTCATTTCAGGACATAGAAAATTACATTCGAAATCATCCCTTAGCTAGGTATGACAAAATCATTGCAATTGGCAGGGAATTGTGCAATCTAGAATTCATGGTAGCATCAATCGAAGACGATGTTCGGAGTGTCAGAGATAGATGGGAAAGTTTGCAAACACAGGTGAGTGTTGAATGAAATATACATTAAAGTAGACCAGATAAATTCTAGATTAAACAACAAACCATTATAATGGGGCGACCCCGGCGTAGTGGTTAGCATCCATACCTCTCACGACAAAGTCACGAGTTCAAATCTCACCCCCAGACAAGTCACGAATGACCCAAGAGCGTTAAAGTGACTATAATAAAAAAAAAAAAAGAAAAAAAAGAAAAAAAAAACAAACCATTACCATATCCATAACCATACCATCCGCACGGAGTTATTATCGGTATATTTGTAAACCGAAAAACCCCACTATCGACAATCGATTTTCTGTACGTTATGCATAGTGTCGGAAGTAGTGCGGTGTATAGCGCATCAATGTGCGCATACAGCACGCTACTTCCGACACCATGTACAATGTATAGAACGAGAGTAAAATTGATTGACGCTAGTAAGTTTGTTCGGTCTGGGAAGGCACTTTCCCTTTCGGCAGTTGACTGTATCGGCAATGATTGGTGGAGGAGGCAAGCGTCGATCTAAATCAAACTCTTTGAGCTCTGAAAAGAGCTGGGGAGTGGGATTCAACGCTTGCTCCGAACCAGGGATGTGTGCTGGATAATTATTCAAACGGCGACGGCTACGCTAGTACCTACGTTTATTCTCTACTTATTTTCTTTGCAACGGTTTGCTTTCTTCTGCTGCTGATACTTGCTCGTGGCCGGTCAAAAGGCAACTTAACTTAAGCACATTTGACATTTAAATGATCTTTATTTCTTGTATTTGTTTGGTTTACATGTATGGATTATCAAGTGACACAGATGCGTCTTTTCAACTTTAGAACATTTGAAATTTTTACAGTTCCTAGTCCTATCAGGCCTGTTATTAGAGTATGACCACCTTGGTGGGATTGGTTTGTTTTGAATTTGAAAAAGGAGACTACTTATAACTACTATTCACAACTACAATTATCCTGTAACTACTATATACACCTAACCTACTATATACAAATTGCTTATCAAAGCATGTTCTGATGTATTGCATTTCTGCATAAACCTAGTCTTAAGGGGAAGTTCACCGCTTCGAAAAAAATAATTACGTTTTGATTTTTCTAAAAATATTGAAAAAAAATATTAAGAAAAATTATATTTTTTCTAATTTTTTAAAGAAAATTCACGTGCAAAAACATGTTTTATAAGTCATTATGGCATAAAGTTGGACTCAAAAAACCACAAAACATCAACTTTTCGGTTTTTCTGAGAGTCCAATTTTTTTTCATGATGGGATAGAAAAAATTTTTTTGCATGTAATTTTTGACAAAAATCTAAGGAAGAAACTGATTTTTTTGGATTTTTGATAATTTTTCCCAATATTTTTAGAAAAATAAAAACGTACCGAAAATATTTTTTTATTTTTGGGCCGGTGAGCTTCCCCTTAATGTCATCAATTTTGAAATCTAATTTTGGAATGTTCACCTCTTGGTGGAGGTCTGAAATTTTTGTGTCAAAGGGACGAACAAGGATCATCCTAAGCACTCTGTTCTGAGCAACCTGGATTTTGTTCCTGTGAGTCTGAGCACACGATTCCCACACCGGAGCTGCGTAGAGGATCGCAGGTGCTATGATTTGTTTGTAGACAGCCAGTTTGTTCACCTTTGAGGTGCGGGATCTACAGCAAATCAGCGGATACAGAGACCTAACCAAGGTGGAACACTTGATTACGGTTTTCTCCACATGCGAGCGGAATAGGAGCTTTTCGTCAAACAACATCCCGAGATAGGTTACTTCGGCGGACCACTCAACCCTTGTGCCATCCATGATTACAGTACAAGAGGGAGCTGGTTTTAGTTTGGGAGATTGCCGATGGAGGAACATTATTGTTTGGGTTTTGGAAGCATTGATTTTGATTTTCCACGTGGTGGCACAATCAGCAAAGGCGTCAAGGCATCGTTGAAGCTTGTTTGTTATTTAACGAGGCATCCTTCCCTTGACGGTTATAGCAGTATCATCTGCGAACAGAAATAACACGCAACCGTTACCCAAGGGAGGAATGTCGGAAGTGTAGATGCTGTATAGCAAAGGGCCCAACAGACTTCCTTGCGGAACACCTGCTGGGATGGAAAATATGCTTGAATTGCAACCATTCAACGATACCCTGAACGACCTTTGCTGAAGGTAGTTACGGGTGATTTTAACAAGATGCAAAGGAAAGTTGAAGTTACAAAGCTTGTATACAAGCCCATTGTGCCAGACATTATCAAACGCTTTCTCAACGTCTAACAATGCCATGGCTGTAGACTTGGATACAGCCTAGTTACTTTGGATGTTATTCATCACCCGTACTAGCTGATGATTTGTGGAGTGCCCCTTCCTGAACCTGAACTGTTCCGGTAGGAGAATGTTATATTTCTCGACAAACTTGAGCAAACGATTGAGAATAAGTTTCTCGAACAATTTGCTCAGCGCTGAAAGGAGGCTGATTGGTCGGTAGCTTGAAGCTAGCGTTGGGTCCTTCCCGGATTTGCGGATAGGTATGATTTTCGCTGTCTTCCAGATACTTGGAAAGTAATGCAGTTCCAAGCATCTGTTAAAGACAGCAGCCAGCAGAGAGTGAACCTTCATGCTGAGATTTTTCAATACTAGGTTGAATATTCCGTCAAACCCGGGGGCCTTCATGTTTTTGGTGCATTTAAGCGCTGAGCAAATCTGTTCCACTGTGATTCTATCCTCCGGAGGGATGGCACAAGGGGAGGAATCAAGGTTGAGTACGCATTGCTCAACCTGAACTTCGAGCGGACTTTGGATGTTGAAGCCAAGCCAATCGCATTTGCTTTCTCCTGAGGGGTGATTATGAGCCGATCGTCATCATTTTCATCTTTGAGTGGAGGAATGGGTTTGGGGTGCGTCTTTAGGACCTTGGCAACCGTCCAGAATGATCTGGAGCGGTCGTCCAGATTCTGGATGAGCCGCCCGAAACTTTCGTTCCGGAGTGAGATCATTCTGGAAGCAATCTCCTTGTTCTGATCGACCATTTCACGTTTCCACGCTAGATCTCCGGTTCTTTGGAACTGGCGTCTACGAACATTTCTCAGTCGAATCAATAGTTGGGTGTGGGAATCAATGACAATAAACTTACCCCTCACAGGAACTCGTCGGACGCACGCCTCGTCAGCCACGGTTATGGTTTGGTGAAGTCCCCTCAACGCTCGGTCGATGTCCTCCACGGAGTCAAGCGGCGGGTTGTCGATGATGTGCCTGTCTACCACGCGTCCAAACTGGGCCCAGTTTACACGATGGTAGTCCTTGCACAGGCTTGGAGCAGGAGCTACGTTGTATCCCAGTTCAGCCACCACGGTTGATGGTCGGAGCTGAGTTCGTCCAAGGCTACCGGCTTGGACAAGCCGGTATTTGTAAGAAACAGGTCTAGCGTCGATGGGTTGCCTGCCGGTGAGATGAATGTTGGGTCGTCCGAACAGCAGACGACCGGTCTGGTTCTGCTGGTAGTTCCGCCAGGCCTCATGGCGAGCATTCAGATCTCCAACAACGAAGCAGGAACCGGTACGGGTGATGGTGGCCAGGTCTTTCTTGAATTTAGCCGCTAGTCCGCTGCTGGCGGCACACTGTCGAGGGCAGTAGACGGCGATGAACTGGACGTATCCAGTCGCCGACTCCACCTCCACACCAAGGGCCTCGATGATAGAGGTGCGGATATGAGACAGACTGCGGTATTTTATCCCTTTTCTGACGATGATCGCAACACCACCCCTCCCCCCCTGGAGCTGGTACGATCAAGCCGAATGATGTTGTGGTCCGGTAACCAGCAACTGTCGCCGGACTTAAGGTGGGTCTCGGTGGTATGCTTGCCCACGTCGATGGTATGCTTGCGGAGGAAGTCCGCAAGCTCGATGGTTTTTGCCCTTAAGGAGCAAGCGTTCCATTTTATCTCTTTTCTGACGATGATCGCAACACCACCCTCCCCCCCCCCCTCGTGCTGGTACGATCAAGCCGAATGATGTTGTGGTCCGGTAACCAGCAACTGTCGCCGGACTTAAGGTGGGTCTCGGTGGTATGCTTGCCCACGTCGATGGTATGCTTGCGGAGGAAGTCCGCAAGCTCGATGGTTTTTGCCCTTAAGGAGCAAGCGTTCCATTTTATCTCTTTTCTGACGATGATCGCAACACCACCCCCCCCCCCCCTCGTGCTGGTACGATCAAGCCGAATGATGTTGTGGTCCGGTAACCAGCAACTGTCGCCGGACTTAAGGTGGGTCTCGGTGAGGAGGCCCACGTCGATGGTATGCTTGCGGAGGAAGTCCGCAAGCTCGATGGTTTTTGCTCTTAAGGAGCAAGCGTTCCATGTGATTATGCATAGTGGTTTAGCCGAATGATGTTGTGGTCCGGTAACCAGCAACTGTCGCCGGACTTAAGGTGGGTCTCGGTGAGGAGGCCCACGTCGATGGTATGCTTGCGGAGGAAGTCCGCAAGCTCGATGGTTTTTGCTCTTAAGGAGCAAGCGTTCCATGTGATTATGCATAGTGGTTTAGACGCCATAATGCATTGCCAATTTAATGATAGTTTCGAACTGTTCGTTCTTGTTGGTGCACTTGCGGAAAGCGCTTGTAACATGGACGAAAATGTTCCAACACTCTTCCACCGAGTACATACCTTCTAGTGTTGGCGGTGTTCTCCAGGATCCAGGGGGAGTGGAATTTGTTCACCGGCCGTTGGTTGGGGGGGGGAGCGGGTTGCACTCGCGGTTGCTGGTTGGTTCGAAGAGGCGGAAAATCGCCTGGCCCGAAAGTCGGGGACTTATTTTTCTTACGTCCAGGTTGGTTGGAGCTCGATGTATCCTCGCGTTTGGGGCACTGCCTGTCAGAGCCCTGATGAGCACCGCCACAGTTGACACACTTGATAACCTCAGGACTGTCATCTGGGCAGTCGGAGGAGGCATGGTCCTTGGTGCAGAAGCTGCAGCGTGGGTTGATGTTGCAATTTCGGGTGCCGTGTGCGAAGTTGAGGCAGCGCTGACACTACGTTACATCGCGGTGGCCACCACGGTAGGACTCCCAACGGATGATGACGTTGAAGAGCGAGCGGATTGCTTGCAACGCATTAAGCGTCACCGTCCCCTTATTGAAGTGTACCAGGAAAAGGCAATCCTGGTACTTCCTCTGGTTTTCGTTCCTCCTCTTGATCCGAAAGACGACGATGGAGGCCAGCTTGTACCGGTCTTTAATTTCAGCTTCGATCACCTTCGTTTCGAAATTCGGAAGGCCTTGGATGACTACCTTAAATGGCTTGTCGCCAGGGATGTCGTGTGTGAAAAATTCCACTTTGGAATTCTTCAGCGAAGCCAAAGCTTTGTTGTAGTCCGCACATCCTCCACACGATGATTTTCGTGCCAATCCCGCACAGCTTGTACTCGGCAGTGACGCCAAGGGATGCAATCTCTTCAGCCAGCTTGTCGAGGGGTACTGACTTCACCACCAGAGGTGGAAGTTTCACTTTCGGACCGTTCTGGCCGCCCGTGGCCAAGTTTTCAACGGACCCGCCGAAATCACCAACGTCACTACCGTTGATTGCTGTGGCGTTATCCTGGGGACCACTATTCCTTGGGGTATGGACACTTCCACGGTCGGATGCGTCTCTCTTCGTTTTTTTGCCGCCTTGGGCAGCGTTAGACTGGGTTGCAGGGTTCGAACCCTGGTTCGAGCCTGTCTTCTTCTTCCGCCTCGACATCACACGCGATGCACCGAAACGACCGAAAACGTGAACAAACGCGTAGCACTATTAATATCACTGGCACTAGCGAGCGAATCAAACAACCGACTGTACTGCACAACGGTTTGATGCAGAATGTCCTAACTTAAGCACGCTACTGCGGGGAATTTTATTGAACGGCACCGACCGTTTACTCGTTGCTGATTGGTCGACGTTTTCTCCTCTCTTTCGGTGGTAGGCGGAACATCCTCCCCTCGGTTGAGAGATCTCAACACCTTTTGGAAGCCGGAGGGCTTTGACGGGGATCATTATCCTCGATGGGTAGAATGGACACCTTATTGATGGGACGTCGATACGGGGTTCCAATCACGAAGACATCAACTGCTCGAACCAGGCCGTCGGTTCCAGGAGGCTCTTAACAACAAGCTCGCTTGACAACGATGCGCCAAGTTCGATTGTCTACGTGTGAAATATGAGTACGACACATTTGTGTCTTGTCAGAATTATTGGGAACTGTTGGGAACTGTTGGGAGTCATCGACCATGCTTATGCATCCATTTGCATTTTATTGCATAGGTAGTTCGATGGCATAGGAACAAATATTTCTTAGAAATGGATGCTGCTGGTGTGGTCTTTTTGGGATACACTGAAAAGATTTCATAATATGTGTTATGCACATGTTACACCATCCCCCTAAGGAAAAATAGTTAACTGAATATTAACGGTTCTAAAAGAGTAGTTATCTGATTCCAACAACCTCTCACAAATTTCCTTAATTGTTTATCATTAATAATAATTATATAGACACATACATATCTGTATATAATATTCCTTCCCTTTCCAAAGAATGATTTTATGTAGTGAAATCATATGCAAGTTTATGTGTACTGTTTTATGATTATTTTAATGCTAGTTATTTAACCATTAGGAAAATTGAACTGAGAAATGTTTCAAAATATTTAGTTTACTATCAACATGTTATTATTCGATTTTTATGTACTATCTGATTTTCATTAGTTAAACAATTTTTAATGGTAACGTCAGGGTGCTGTATTGCTATTATTTCATATGGACCTGAATAGACATTGTCCAGCAGTTCTGTTCTCTTTTTTCAGATAGACTTCATCGTGTAACTTAACATCTATAGGGTTTACGTGTTGAGAATGATTTCTTATTCTAGCCGTTTTGCTTCTTTCTAACAATCTTTTTGCTTTCAGCGCCGTTACTTGGATTTTGTAATTTAATTCTGTAAAATATGAACCATAATTATATTGTGGATCTATGGATATGATATTTTCAATGGAGCTTGGCGTGTTAGCTATTCTGCCAAAAACTAATTCAAAGGGGCTAAAATTATGGGCTGTATATATGGTTGTATTATAACAGAAATTGTAGTATTGCAACCAGGTGTCCCAGTCATCATGTTGTTCGTTAATGAAATGTCTTAGATATTCATTAAGGACGCGATGATTCCTTTCAAGACTACCAATGTTTTCTGGGTGTTATGCTGTTGAGAATGTTTGATTGATTGAGAGAAATTCACAAATATTTTTGAACAGTTCATTCTCATATTCTGTTCCGAGATCTGATTATATAGTTATCCCCTCCCCATGGACATGGAGGTTGACGGTACTGAAGCAAAGGGTTATGTTTAATTTCTTTATATTTGAAACGATGATGATTTCCCATAGTGACACATATCACCTTCTTAATGCTTCAGTATACCTCAAACGATTAATTCTTGATTGTTAATAGAACTTCCTTGATGCAATCGGCTGCTTCATGCAGACTGAGCAATTCTGATTATAGTATCAGATTTGTTCTGTATAAAGGGTGTCCACGATGAAATTGCCACACACAAAATTGATTCGCAAAATTCGAGTTTTCATCCGATTGCCATCAAATTTTCAGGGATTGAGAAATATCTATTAAACTTCATTTTACCATTTTACTCGTATTTTATTTACAGTCCATACGCAAATGCCCGCACCTTGGCCTTAACCTCGGCCATAAGATTCTGCACAACCTGTGAATCAACCGTTTTTTGCATGTAAACCCATACTTTCTTCAGTTCCTCGACTGTCTTCACTACCTTAGGTCGTTTAAGAAGGTGCTGCTTCATAATCGCCCAGTACTTCTCGATGGGGCGGAGCTCCGGAGTGTTGGGAGGGTTGAACATTTTCGGCACGAAATTGACCTTATTGTCCGCATACCACTTCAGCACGTCCTTGGAGTAGTGGCATGAGGCCAAATCCGGCCAGAAGATTGTTGGGACGTTGTGGGCCTTCAGGAGAGGAAGCAGCCGCTTCTGGAGGCACTCTTTTATGTACACCTGTCCGTTCATCGTGTCCTGGGTCACGAAAGGTGCACTCCGCTTCCCGCACGTGCAGATGGCTTGCCAAACCAGGAATTTCTTCGCAAATTTGGACATCTTCTGAGTGCGGACATGCTCCGGAACGCTGAACTTATCCTTGGCCGTGAAAAACAGGTTGCCGGGGATCTGTTTGAAGTCGGCCTTCACATATGTTTCGTCGTCCATGATGCAGCATTCAACTTTCGTCAGCATGTTGAGGTACAACTTCCTGGCACGGGTTTTGGCGGACTTGTTCTGCTTCTCGTCGTGATTAGGGGCCTTTTGTACCTTTAACGTTCGAAGCCCAGCCTTAGTTTTGGCCTTCTGGACAAAACTTCGGCTTAGGTGCAGCTTCTTAGCCACATCCCTAACGGAGGCGTTCGGATTTCGGTTGAAGGCCCCAACTACGCGGTTGTGATTTTTGGTGTTGTACGGAATACTTTTTCCTTCACTTCTGGGCTTCCGATCGGTGGTCAACCGTTCCTCGAACCGCTTAATCACTCGCGACACCGTGGAATTCGCGATTCCCAACGTTTTAGCGATGGAACGATGCGAGAGATCCTTGTTCTCGTGATGAATGCGCAAGATTTTATCATGCACGAGCTGTTCTTTCGACTCCATTTCCGGGAGTTTGATCACAGGACTTTAAAACTTGCAGGATGTAAATAATGCACTATGAACTAAATCCACCCATTTTCATTAAATTCTACCCAACGGTTAAAAAGTTAGAGCAATTTCATAGTGTGGCAATTTCATCGTGGACACCCTTTACAGAGGAACTAGGAGGGCTTATTAGAAACTTCTCACCAATAAAGTAATGGCCTTCTAGTAAATTTTGCATATCATTTTATTAATATTTTATTTTATTTAAGCATATTATTTTTGTTACAGTCAATTAGCATTAGCATACGATACAAGAGATTTAATATTACTTGCTCGGTTTTGCGTAAAATAATCAATATGTATTTTGCTTGTAATTACCTTTGAATTTTTTTTTTGTGATCTCAAAATTTTTCTAGTTTGGTTAGAAGTTTCGAAGCTAACACATGTCCACAGGCCTAATAGAAAGATAGACAGACAAAGCGTATCATGAAGAATAGTTGCATGCAGGGTTGCTTCCACCCACTTTCTATAGATGAGTGATTTTCGGAGTTTTGAATTCGTTAGATGTTGTAATGGAGGTTTGTGTTGTTGGATGCGGGAGGAGATTGGAGGGCGGGTGTTTGACGCATAGAGCCTGTCAATTTCGCTTTCAGAGTGTCGCAGTCAGCGGTTTTATGATTCGTGAGCGCTCGCGATTCGTAGAATCGTTGATTGTGACTGCCAGTGGATTTGGCGGGCTTTGTGTGTCGGACGCTTGCTTTTTGGCCTTTTCTTGTGCAGAGTATCATTATAGCGTCTAATGGTTTTGAGATTCCTGGTTGCGTGAAAT